AAGAATAACAATAACAACCACATATAGCAACAGCAACAGCAATAGCAACACCAACAGCAAAAACAAAAACAATAACAACAACCACATACAACAATTACAACCACATATAGCAACACCAACAGCAATAACAACAACAAAAACAATAACAACACCAACAGCAATAACAACAACAACCACATACAACATTAACAACCACATATAACAACACCAACACCAACAACAATAACAACAACCACATCCAGCAATTACAACCATATATAAAAACACCAACAGCAATAACACCAACAACAATAACAATAACAACAACAACAAAACCGCCACTAATAACAACCAGAATACCACGAACTCACGTGCCGTCGAAATGAAATGACACATTCCCTCCCCAACTCGTCCACGCGCCCGAGGTATTCGTTCTCTAAGCGACCTACGCCATCACATGGGCTATATTTGTCGCCAGATTCCTTTTGCAATGCTCTGATAATGACACACAGCCTCTGCAACGGGGTATTTTTAGCCCGAGTTTGTTTATAAATGTGTCTTTTCTTCCTTTCTTTGCGGTTAAATTTGGAACAGCGAGGAGGTTTTGATGGATGAATCATGCGTGCTTGGGAGGGTTGGCCAAAGGAATTTTTATTTTTAATGTTTTCTTTTTTTTTACGTTTGTATTTTTTCGTATTATTATTATTATTATTATTATTTGTTTTTGTATTTTATTTCTGTATGGGATTTTTTTGTTTTGTTTTTGTTTTTTTTTGTTTATTTTTCTTTTCTTTTTTTTCTTTCTAATTTTATCCTTATTATTTTTATCCTTGTCCTTAATCTTATGTTTGTTCTTGCTCCTAATTTTATTCTCATTCATGTTCTTAACTTGTCTTTAGCTTCATTCTAATACCAATTCTTATTCTTCCTTATTACTCACTTTATCATCATCATTTTCATTATTATTATTCATCAGTATTATCACCTTTTTCATTATTTTCATCGTCTTCATCACTACCACCATCATTATCGTTATTTTTATTCATTGTTATTATAAAACACTATTATTACTGTTTTTTATCAATATAATTGTCATATCATAATAATTTCCATTGCTACCATTTTCATCATGTCATCATCATCATCGTCATCATCATCGTCATCATAATCACCATCATCATAACCATCACCATCATCACTACCATTATCATCATCATCACCATCATCACCACCCATCATCATCATCATCATCATCATCATCACCATCATCATAACCATTACCATGATCACCACCATCATCACCATAACCATCACCATCATCATCACCACCATCAAAAATCCCTCGTTTTTCCTCCCATCAACCTAACCCCATTCCACATCAATTTAATCCCTCCCTCCCCCCCCCCATCACAAAACAAAAACAAACAAACAAACTAACAAAAAAAAAACTAAACGACCCTTAATACATCCAAAAAAACAAACAAACAAAAAAAAAAAAACTAAAACAAGTAAAAAACAAAACAAACAAAAACAGAACAACCCCTTAATAGCCCCCTTTAACCGAAAACATTCCCCTCCCCCCCCCCCTTAAAATTTCACCTTAAAAGGGACTCGAGAGCGAATTCGCGGAAGGAATGCCAACGGCCTCGCTCTTGACAAATACACAGGTTGGCAAGGGATTCAGGACAGGCTGGTGGGACGAGGGGAGAAAGAAAGAGAGAGAGAGAGAGAGGAAGAGAGAGAGAGAGGGAGAAAGAGGAAGAGAGAGAGAGGGAGAGAGAGAGAGAGAGGGAGAGAGAGAGAGAGAGAGAAAGAGAGAGGGAGAGAGAGAGAGGGAGAGAGAGAGAAAGAGAGAGAGAGAGAGAGAGGAAGAGAGAGAGAGAGGGAGAAAGAGGAAGAGAGAGAGAGGAGAGAGAGAGAGAGGGAGAAAGAAAGAGAGAGAGAGAGGGAGAGAGAGAGAGAGTGAGAGAGAGAGAGAGAGAAAGAGAGAGAGAGGGAGAAAGAGAAAGAAAGAAAGAGAGAGAGAGAGAGAGAGAGAGAAGGGGGGGAGGGGGTGAAGGGGTAGAAGAGGGAGGGGGAGGGGGTGAAGGGGTAGGAGAGGGAGGGGGAGGAGGGTGAAGGGGGTAGAAGATGGGACGAGGGAAGAAAGGAAGGAAG